AAAAAGATCCACATTACAACCCAAAAAGTTTGCGGTTTCTCTCTTCTTTTTAATATACACACTTTACTCTCGTTGGAACTACTATAACTGCTTTATTTTGTATATATATATATATATATATATATATATATATATATATATATATATATATATATATATATATATATATATCTGAAAGGGAAATCATTAAAAATGTCGTTGAGGTGAGCAGGACACCGAATCGCGCTAATCTCGACTCATTTCTGAAATGTGTCATAAAAACAAAAAATAATTTAAATAAATGAAAAACGGAAATTTTTCTAATAATCAGAAACACATATTTCGATATATTTTGTATTCGCTTATAATTGTATTTTCATTTCTCATGTCAAAATTCGACATTTCACGTGCTACAGAATAATATTAAATCCTCTCCCCATGTCTACAGACGTTTACACCTCTATGTGTATGTATGTGTGTGTGTGTGTGGTACTTGTTCTATTTTGTCGAAATTCAAATTTTACGGAGAATGTTATTAGTTATTCGCACAACGATTATATTTTGATATTTCGAAATGATAGCCCAATTATGAAATCAGTCATTATTAAAAAAATAAATAAATAAAAAATGATAAAGATCGATTGCTGCGTAGATATACTGAATAAATAGAGGAAAGAATGAAAACGATAAGAAAAAATCCGTTAAAGAGATAAGTAGTGATTAAAACTGATAGACGACTCCGATATCAGACAATGTGGCCGAGTGGTCAGACAGTTAGTTTTTCGACCCTTTGAAACGATTTCGAATCTCACTCTCGTCGATTTATTATAAAGAGGAATTCTTCATATTATTGGTCTGTCAGTGGGTGGGGGAAGATTCCAGCATCCGACACCGTTGGAAAATGCCTACCAATCCTTGCCAGTGAAATCATCGATTCTTGTGTTCTCACGAAGCCAAAGATTTTGGGCGGACTGCCCTGTTCAAACTTTATGCCATATTATGTGCTCTATACCAGGAAGTTCCGCTGTTTAAATGTGCCGGAACAGTCATCTGCTCCAAGGAATGGTGAGCCACAGTAGCAAACGGGTTGGCTTGGAAACGAGTATCCGTCTATTGTATATCGGACAGAGTCTCAAAACACAAAGCTATCGAGTAGAGCATAAATTCAAACAATGTATTTGAATTACAAACAATAGGATTTATGATAATGAATTCTTTTTTAAACATTATTAACAGTACACCGTCCTGGGTATGACGATAAACTACATCCACATCCTGGGTATGACGTCCAACAGCAAGGAGGTTTTGAGGATCGTGGAACCACCTCTTAATTGTTGGCGTTCCCACGTCCACCCTGACCCGGGGTGGTAGTACCTGTTAGGGTCCCAGCTATGGGGAAATAGTTGACATCCAAGCTTGTGTAAAAATAGGTTTTAATACCAGAAATACTTTGTAATAAGAAAAAATATTACCAGCAATAATTTTTGAAGGAAAAATTATTATCAGCAATACTTAAAAAAAATACCAGCAATACAAACAGCTATACATTCTTTGAAAAAAGTATTTCCACTTATAGATTTCTTCAAGGAAAAATATTCCCAGAAATAGATTTTGAAGAAAAACATTACCAGCAATAAATAATTTTGTCGCCATTAAATAACCCATTGAGCTTGATATGCCGTAAACCAAACCACACCAAACCAAACCAAACTAATACCAGTACAGAAAACTCAAATGGCGTTGCCTTCTCAGACTAGAAAGAAATGGCGGTCAAAAGGTTTCTTATAAATTTTCAAAGTTTGCTATTTTATGAAACAAAAATTTCAACAAAAATTAAAATCTTAGAAGCATAAGCTGCGATAATTGATAAAAAATATTAATATCTCAAAGATTAAAAATTAATTTTGTGTTTATTTTAAAATAATGTTCCCCACCGTACACGTCCCAGAAGCCATACGAGGTCGAGGGTTACAGATGTAAGAGGCGGCGTTTATGATGATATGTGGGGAAGAGTCGATTCCTCAAAGAAGCAGTTCGTTGAAAGAAGCTGCTCGAGTGAAAATTACATCACACCAAAGGAATACGTCCATGTAAATTAAAGATATATTAATATTCCGATCAAATAGAGTCAAAGCCGTCATTACAAATTAAAATTAAATTCATGGTCCTTGAGAATTAAGACTGATACTAATATTAATACAAATTAAAGAGAATTATTAAATATTCTTCAAAATAAAGGGGAAGATTTATCGTCTGTATCATGGTTAATAATTCATGTGATTTAAGTCTAAGGGGAATTAAGACAGAGTTTCATATTGCTGGCAGCTTCAAGAATCGTTGCGATTAAAAATTAACAACAAAATTCATCATCATTAATAAAAAAAATAAAGGCTGATAAATGAAGATAATTATTAATATCTTTAAATATTAACATAATAAAATTGATTTCTATGTCCACACTGCTCATATCTGCAAAAGTTTTATTATCCCCTATATATTGCACACTAATTCTTCTCTAATAAAATAACAAATTTAAAATGTACCGGGCGGGGTGCGACAGAAACACACACACACACACACGCGCGCGCGCGCGCGAACACACATACACACACACATATATATATATATATATTAAGAGATCAGCCGATTCCGCTACTTGGTTTCAACCTTTCGGTATCTTCAGGCGATTTCGTTCAACTGATATCATAACGCTTTATTATTTTTTTAAGCAAAAAAAAATTAATAAACACTATATAATTTAAAAATAAATAAATAAGTACACGACGTGAGGTAAGGTAGAAGAAGTAGGAAGAAGTGGAGTAGGAGGAAAGCGGGGGTGTTGGAAATATATCGGTAGGGGTTAAATGAAATATATATACTTTCTTTTCATCTCGCTTCATATGAACTCAAAAGGAACGTTTTAGTATGTATACAACGGGTCATAATTTCAGATCTCTCATTCAAAAGGTTTTGGTCTGGAAATGATATTATAGCTAACTTTTTTTGTTGACAAAGGTCCCAGACATTACTATGATTGCTGTAAGGTTTGGTATTTTTTTTAATTTTCCAGTTTATAGTCGAATCAAATTGTTGGCTAGTCTAGTAGAATTTCTGAGACTTTCTAGTTTGAAAGATTACTTGTGATTGTATCACCTCTTCTTAAAGTTACCTTCAGTGCACCCTATATATATTTATTCTGACCATTTGTATCTATTACTTCTGCTTTGTTAATTACAGCTTCAGTTTTGCAAACTCCATCTAATGCGCATCTACTTTTATTTATAAAGTTACATATATCACTGTTAAATATGTTTTGCTGCACGTTACTTTTGAAATTGCTGGTGCTTTGTCTTTTTATTGCGGTTTTTAAATTACTAACACAGCTATAGTTTAATTTAATTGTATTTTTATTAAATAATTAATATAATTACGGATTTGGGGGCGTGTTGAGTAAGTAATTTGAAAAATATTTTCCCTATTTTACACTTGAACTCTAAGTTAAAAGGGTATTAAACCAAATAATATTATTTCTTTTGCACAAATTGTTGTTCATTTGTTGATTTATTTGTGTTTAAAATTCCCGTTTGGTTTTATAATATAGATTATATTATATGCAACTATATCGTATAGACTTGCAACCACTGAAGATGATAACAGGTGAGACTGAAATTACTTGGGAAAATAAAAATTATTTGAAAGAAAATTTTGAAATGTTTTTCTGATCAGTTTTCTACAGCCACTAAGAAATTAATTCGTGAACTTGAAAAAATTTAAACTAAAATAAATAGGCATAATACGTCTAAATTATTTAACCAAACATCCCTGAATGAAAATATATATATATATATATATATATATATATATATATATATATATATATATATGTGTGTGTGTATACATTTTTATTACAGTAAACGTTATTTTCAGTGAGTGCACGTGTTTGAGATGCTATCACTTGTTTATAGCAAGAAGAAATATTATCGAATTAAAAAATCTATTTACACATTACTATATGCATGTATGTATATGTATATATACACCATCTCATTAATAAGTGGATACGTAATGTAGTAATTATGCATAAATACATACACACTACCACACAGCCACCCCTGCGCAAATACACACACATGCACCTAACCATAGCTACCTACCTTAGATATGAACAGACTGAGGAAGAGGAGCTGACTAACGCAGATAGATAGATAGATAGATAGATAGATAGATAGATAGATAGATAGATAGATCTTAATACAGGAAGTCGCGCGCTCAATTTGTACTATTAATTACTATTATAATTATTGTATGGATAGAAAAGGAGAGAGAGTGAGAGAGAAAGCTTTGTTGTTTATAGATTGTGAATGAGAAAGCAAGACTGAGGATATGGGGGAAAGAGATAGATAGATAGATAGATAGATAGATAGATAGATAGATAGATAGATAGAAATTGGATGTATACATAAAGTGTTGAAATTTTCATAAAACCTTGGTCAAAATATAAAAAAGAAATGGTCAAATAGAATATACAAAGGACTGTAAAAGGTGCCACGTGTCAGCTGATCTCCCTACGGAGTTTCGCAGTACAAAGACCAACAATCACAATACGAAGACGAAATAGTAACAGGCCGAATGATCGAAGGCTTTGTGCCATGATTGATCGTTTACTCTGGCTAAATATCTCCCGGAAAGAAAATGCGCGGACGGATGGTTATAAAAAATGAACAGACTTCTTTTTAAGTATCAGAATGTAACCTCGGGGTAAAGATGGAAATGTAAGTAAACAATAAGAAAGGTTTCGTTCAGAAAAGAAAAAAAAAAAAAAAGAACGATAGAAAGAATCCATTTTGAAAGAAAATATAAGGAAACTGTTCAAGAATTATCGAATAAAATGGTGTGTGTGTGTGCGTGTGTATGTGTGTATGTGTGTGCGTGTGTGTGTGTGTGTGTGTGTGTGCTTGTTTTATGTATAAAGTGTCCAACAACAAAATTGGTAGCGTTAGTGAGATTTAACCCGGGGTTAGATGAATCTCACGCAGTTAGCAAGTTCATATCTATTTTTCTCTTTCAGTTTGTTCGTATCTATCTATCTATCTATCTATCTATCTATCTATCTATCTATCTATCTATTTATTTTAATTTGTTTGTATATATATATACATCAGACAATTAACTATTTTCTCTATCCTGACACTTTTCATATGTATCTCAGTCCATTGTATCCGTGGATGAATTGCCGCTGAAAGATCATTAGCCTGAAACACTCCCCGATAACCTTTCAGCAACCCTTTATACCAACCTACCTATTTTCTTACCCACATACCTATCTATCTATCTATCTATCTATCTATCTATCTATCTATCTATCTATCTATCTATCTATCTATGTGTGTGTGTGTGTGTTTAGGCAGCATTTTTTCATTGATACATGTTTCATTAAATAATACAGACAAGTGTTGTTTATTTATTTTATGTAAATTCTTTTTATATCGTCTGGTAAGCTTAATAATATTATTAAACGAAGAAAGAAAATCACAATATTGATCCGTATTTTTTTAATCGTATCTAAGCTTTCGGCTTATATAAGCCATTATCAAAGATGACAATTACATCACAATATATTAAGCAATACACGGAGAAGACAGTGATGATAGTCTGTTTCTGTTTACATGGAAGATTTCCAAGCAAGGACAAACTCGTGCATATAAGACGCTGTAAGCGAAAATCGCACCGGAGTGCATATATGGGGAGAGAGAGAGAGTGAGAGGGAGTATTTGATTTCTTATATGATCTATTCTAGGCAATGTTGACTATGCTATTTGGCTAAACATTATCTTATAAGATATGTCAACTTCGCATATAAGAGCAAAGAAATATTTTTAGTTATGTATGGGGGGAAAAGACAGATTTTGTATATGACATCAAATACTGTATCTATCTGGCAGTCTCTAAGTATTTTTCATCAATTTACATCGATCGATTATGACCTATATATTTCTATTGGTTTGTCGGTTAATCTTTATTTCTAGTTACCGATCCTTACTTCTCGTTTTAATAATACTTTTTCTATCTATCTATCTATCTATCTATCTATCTATCTATCTATCTATCTATGTCACTCTGTTCAATTCTATATCTATCTATGTTCATATATATATCCATCTATTTTTATACCTCTCATTTTCTTTCTTTCTATCTATCTATCTATCTATCTATCTATCTATCTATCTATCTATCTATCTATCTATCTATCTACTGTTGTCTTGTATGTAAGTATCAAGATGTCTATCAATAATCAATGAATCTGATTTCATTCAAGAATCCTATTCAAAGAATCCAGTTCTGTTTAGCGGAAGAAAAACACTTTAAACTCTACAGAAACAGAGCGTACGATTTGTTCGCCTTTTATTTACTGTCCAATTTTAGTGTCTTGTAATGTTGTTGTCGGCGAAAAGTTCATTCAAAATTTATAAAAGGCGGTATGAACGATTCCAATTTCTCACTCTTAACTGCCAGGATATTTACCTTATTTGCGATAAAATATTTTCGTTTCTGAGTAAGATTGTCCTTTTCCTTTCGCTGTTTGATGTGCCGTGTTTTTTTTAGGCGCTAGCTGTAAAAAAGTAATGTTTAAAATATCTCGCAGGCGATTAACAATATAGCGAGTTTGCCCCAGTATTTTAATCCGAAGCTTGGTAAATATCTACAAACTTATGGCACGAGAATATATTCGGCCTACTCTCCCTCCCCCTCTCTCTTACTCTCTGTCTCTGTCTGTGTGTCTGTGTTTGTGTATAGACATTCTTTCAAATGCCAAAGATGGGTATACGAAAGAAACACATAGAAACCAGATAAATTAAATATATAGATAAAATAAACAATCTAAAGGTCATGACCATAAATAACTCAAAGCTTTAATTCTAAACAAAAGAATAAGGGAGAGTCACTTTCAGACTTCCCCGAATTTCCTTAATCATCCATTGACATATATATATATATATATATATATATATATATATATATATATATATATATATATATATATATATATATACCAATGTTTTGTTTTACTTGAATCAATTCACCCCAAGCAAGGAGTGCCACTAGTACGCAAAGGGTTACTGAAAGTGAAAGTAAGGGAAAAGGCAGAGGGATGATTCCTATATTCATACTGTTTACATCTACAAAAGCTCTATCTCCGATATTGACTTTACTCCATAAACATAACAAATGTTAAACACAGACACACATATATATACATATACATACATATATATATATATATATATATGTGTGTGTGTGTGTGGTAAAATTTAGTTTTTACTGTGCAGCTTATATATTATATTATAAAGAAACAATTAATACAAAGAATTAAATAGCGATGTTAATGTGATTCATTTCGCTAACAAGACTTAATGAGACATTAACTTACTATCTAACTTACTATCTTACTAACTAGAATATAAAGAAATATTCAAGGAATTGATAGTAAGTTAATGTCTCATTTAGGCTTGTTAGGGAAGCGCCATTAATCGCATTAACATTGCAATTTAATTCTTTGTATAATTTTTTTTTTATTTATATATATATATATATATATATATATATATATATATATATATATATATATATATATATATATAGAAATATAGTCTTAAGATGTGCTATATTTATGGGATAAAGTGCTCAATATTAGGAAAGAGTGTGTAAATATAAAAGAACATAGAAGTCAACACTTAGAGGCGACAGGCTGTTTCATGCTAGACTGTTGACTTCTATGTTTACTTTTATATATATATATATATATATATATATATATATATATATATGTGTGTGTGTGTGTGTGTATATATTTTTTTTTTTTTTTCTGTAGTTTACTGCTACCAGCAAGCAGAAATATTTCTCCTCCCAATGATGACCATTTTGGGGCCGAAACTAGTCGAGGAATCTAAATGAAATAATAATAATAAAAAAAAACGAAAGAATATTGATCTACAACCCAGTGTGTCTGAAGCTTCATGCACAACGCAATCTTCAGGTGCTGATTTATTTTTCCTCACCCTTAGTGTTATACACAACGCAATATTCAGCAGCTGAATATAGCATGCGTGAAAATCCGGGTCGTGCTACCGTTGAATTAATATATATATATATATATATATATATATATATATATATCAAATATGTAGCGCAGTTCAATTTCTATTGCATGAATCATTCATACGAAAAAGATATGTGAAGTTAATGATATAAATGGCGAGAATACATCTTCGCAAATATTTTTTTTAAAATGACATTACCTTTATTACCTGGATGTATTTTAAAAAAATCAATTTCCATGCCTGATGATTTCTGTATGAACAGATGAAACTACTAGAAAAAAAAGACCTTATACAATTGGAATTTATTAAAAACAGGGATGACAGCATTCATCTAGAGGGTCGTGGTTTAATGTAATTTTAATAAATTTGTTTGCAAAGATATATTCTCGCCAATTATATCACTAACTTCACTAATCTGTTTTTTGTATGAATGATTCATGTAATATATATATATATATATATATATATATATATATATATATATATATATATATTAATTATTTATTTTAAAAAAATTATAACATAAATATGTTATAAAATCACTACAAAAATAGCTATTTTGTTTCAACACCCTCGGTGTCTTATCAAAGTTTCTTCATAAATGTCCTTTGTCAAAATGTGAATGCGTATTATGCATCGATGTGTTATATATGGTGTGATTCAATGCATATATTAATAAATTTATACCAGCAAGGTTAATGTCATTTCTTTTAGATGGTTAGTGAAGGAGCCGGTGAAGATTTGTCAATCTTCTGGGATTCCAGTATTTCAATACTATCTCATTTTTCGGTGGCTTTGGTTTGACAAGACAAGTTGCTATGTTACCTTATCAGATGTATCCAAAGGCGAGGAAGGGTCCTTTTAAGGAGACTTGAAGCTCAACTGCTTCAAAAGCCTAGATCTTCAAATAATCAGTTTTCAAATTCAGTGGTCTTCCATTTTCAGATGGACATCGGCTTAGAAGAATTATCCTGTTGGAAAAATTCTTATTTCTTCTTTGCCACTATTTTCTCGACTTTCTTTTTTCCATTTTCTTTAGCAAATTCTTCATTTATTTCTTTTTCTTCTCTGCTGCCCATTTATTCGACCACATTCTTCTTTATTCCTTGAAATTTCTTCTTTTACTTTCATTCTTCCCGTTTCTGTCTCTTTCTTTTTATTGTCATCCTCATTTTCTCTTTTTTTTTCTTTCACTTTTCTCTATTTCTTGAATGTATTTCGTGTTTTCTCTTTCAAATCATCATCAGCAGCAGCAGAAACAGCAATCATCAGCATTTCAGCTGCCTTTTATTTCCTTCCATTCTTTTTTTTCTTTTTCTATTAATTCATTCTTTCTTTTTTCTTTCATTTTCACCACTCCCTCTTTCTTCTCTGCGATTTCAATTGCATTTTCTTTCTTTCTTTATTCTTTCTTTCTCCATTTATTCATTCATTTATTAATTCGTTTTTCCTTTCATTCATTCACTCTTTCTTAATTTTTCATTTTCGCAACGCTACTTTCTCCTTTACATGTCCAGCCGCATTTTGTCCTTTTATCTTTTTTCTTTCTTTCTTTATTTATTCATTTCTTTATGTATTTATTTACTTTTCTTTTCTTTCTTTTGCTTCTCTGGTCCTTTTTATTCCATTGATTTTTTCGATTTCTTTCTTTCTTTCTTGTTTAGCCTTCTCTTATTTTTCCTGTTCACTTCCAGTTGCACATTTATTTCCTTCTCTCTACTATTTCTTTCTTTCTTTCTTTCTTTTTTCTTTTCTCTTTAAACAATTTTTTATTTATTTATTCTGGATTTGCTTCATATTCATGTATCCATTCATTTCCTGTCTGTTTGTCAGACATGTATCGTTTCCATTCCCTACAAAGCTTTCTTTTCTTTCTCCGCCTCCTCTTGTAAATCATCATCAATCATCATCATCATCATCATCATCATCATCATCATCATCATCATCATCATCATCATCAATCATCATCATCATCATCTTTTTCCCGCCTCTTTCACTTACTTCCCTTCCTTCCACCTATTCTTTTGTCTCAATCTTCATCCTCTATTTTCTCCTCTTAACCACCTTCATCTTTATTAATACTGTACAGACCCCAAACAACGAAACAAGCAGCCATAATTCTAATTACAATGAGAACGTGCTATATTAATAAGTAAACACTGGCCAGCAAACATGAATGTTTGATGGAAAACATTGAGTCAGCAGCGAAGCAATCGGAACAGTGCGTGGGTGTATGCGAAGTTGGAGATCGGTGTTGGGTAAAGACGAAGAAGAGATGGAGTTGGCAAGATGGCGGTTTTACGAGTGACAGACGAAAGCGCAGTATGAGACGTCCGCACCGACAGGGAAATGCCCCGTAAGATCTACCCAACAGAGACGGACATAAAGCGTATCATGTATCATTAACGAGACCCAGGGAGTTTTGCTTTAATGCCTCCGTCTTGGATGCGCGTTCCGTAGTTTCATTGCATCTAATTGCTAGAACAAATAGACGGAACTTGTCTCTCAGAGATCAGTGTTCAAACCCAGGTAAAATCTATTATTTGAAAAGCTGATTTTCAAAGTATACTCCTTGAAAAATACACGAGACATGCTCACTTAATATCGGTTATCCTATATAATAGTTAATACAGGATAATCTCTTGACAGATGAAAAGTAGACACAAGGCAATTGAGATGTGGATCTACAGAAGGTTGCTGAGAATTCTATGGACAAATTATTTGAATAACGTGGGGAATATAAGATAAATGGATACAAAAGTACGGTTCTACTTAGAATCAGAAAGATACAGTTGAAATGAACAGGGATATATAAAAGGGCTTAGAAAATTTGACACTCACAGGATATTGAAGGCAACAGGGACAGAGATAATCATCAAGTAATCTACCTAACAAAATCGTGATGACAGGACTGGAACTTGAAAAGATGTTGAAAGGATAGACATTACTAAGAGCTGCAAAGAAGAGGAATGTATAAAAACTCATAGTTGTGAAGAAATGTGCTACATACAGTGTAACATTCGTCTGGAATCATAATAAATATGCATATCATTGGTACTTAAATGTCTAATGTTTGCAGAAACTTTGGCAAGTTTTCGGCATCACTTGGAGAAAAACACAATGTATATTTTGGCGTTGATACAAGACCAAATTCTAAGAAGGTTGGCGTTATGACCATGAGACCATGGCTTCGAATCTTATCTTTGTCGATTAATTCAAGAAGTTGGCTTTTTGATAATATAGTCCTAATGAATGCTGGAATTTTATGTGATATCTTTCCTCTTATATGGTAGTAAATGCCAAAAAATCTCTTCAAAGATTAAGAAGAAACATGAAGCAATAGAAATGTGCTTTTTGATAATATAGTCCTAAAAGAGTATTGAAATTTTACGGGACATCTTTCCTCTTATATGGTAGTAAATGCTGAAAAATATCCTCAAAGATATGTTGGGCTACATCCTCTAGGAGTAAAGTTGAAAAAGTATAACACAGTGACACACTGACATTCGCATTTATTATATTGATGATCTAACAAATAAGATGACATATTTTATTCATTGAGAAGCTTTTATTGTAATCTTTTACAAAGTTTCTAATTATCGAATATTGTAAAAATTGCATATTTGGCACGTAATTCATAATTAGAATTCTGATTTGAATATATTTTCCATTCCAGGTATCTAATACAAAATATATTAAATTTATTTGGATTTATTGTTAAAATAGTAAAGTTTTGAAGAAAGTTCGTAAGCAAAAAAAAATAGGCACTTCTGTACAGTTTTTTTTTTCAGACAAATTTTAAAACTAAATGCTCAAAAATTGGTGAAAGTTATGAACCTAATTTTTGGTGGCAGATCTTATCACATAAATCCACAGAATGCAATGTTGATTTTCTAAATAAAGTGAAAAATCAAGCTGCCTTAATGTACACGTGTATATGATGAGTTTGGCATATGCCAGAATTTTTCAGCTTTACTCAATAAATAATTACCACAAATATCCCAGGTGTTATCATGGCTGTCACCTTTATTGTCTGGAAATTCCATATCATGATCATTTCAGATACTTCTTTTCAGCATTTTCTCGTTTTTTCTTTTTTTTCTTTTTTTTTTTTTTTTAGTGTGTACTAACTTTTCGTTTTGCGCGCTGAATTTGCTCAAGATATTCTACGTTGTTGACATCACCTGTGGATTCAAAGTAATCGGTGTAAGCATCGTTGATGAACGCTTCTTCATTTGATCACGATAGACAGCCCACGTTTTATGCGCATACAATAACACACTCTCCTCAACGATTCCGTCCTAAATTTCTGAATGGATCACTGTCCCTTTGCATTCTTCTCGTAACTTGTGCTCGATGGTGTGCTACCAAGATAAAGTCACCAAACACGCCTATGCGCTTATTGCATACAAATATATTTGGCTTTGCGAAAGCTTTGCCTGATGCAGACCGGTGCATCACCACAGTGTTCTTGAGATTTACAGTAAACATACACACAGATATAAGAATACACACACATATAATAAACATATGAACGTATGAGAACACATACACAAATATGCCTTCTATAAGTAGTGCAGCTTTATCATGGCGGTCTCTTGTGGCGTAATTGGTAACGGCACACTTCGTCTATATGAGTGGTGACCCTGAAGGAAAATGGGAAAAGCAGATTCGATTCAAGCTTTGCTCTGTCGTGTCTCCGCGATCAAAATGTTAATAGCACGCTTTGGTTAAAAAAGTGTTTTTTTCCTGATGGAAAAAAAGGGATCCAGCTTCGATTCCAGTCGGGTGGCACATTTTTCTTTAGTAGGTTTTCTCGATCTAGGCCGGTTGATATTTATGCTACTGTTTAAGCAATTGAAAAAGTAGGGAGGTCAAATAACACACATATATATATACCTATTAAGAATGACGTTTATAAGATTAAGAAACAATTTTGGATTAAAAATCAGTTCTAAAATTACTCTTAAGACATTCATGTATTAACCTACAGAAGCCTAGAATTAAACAAGAATAAAATTTCAAATAATATACATAAAATAAAGTACAAAAAAAAATGGAGAGGCAAGTGTATACTGGATTGTTCTGTCTTTACCTCACTTACAGAAATTCAACTAAGCCTAATATCGTCAAAATAGTAAACGCTTCTTCCGCTTACGTTGGACTGCGCAAGTTTTACGAGCAGATATATCCCAGGCTTCATTAGTGATTTATCATGTCTCCATTTATGGAATTACTTCCAACCAATGCTAGAGAGTACAGTCTACCCTGCTATTTAATACATAGCTGAGTTAGGTGAAGAAAAACGGATTCGTGCCTTCCACGAGATTAGTTGTGAGAAAATGAACGTAACAACATCGACCTAAATTCGAACTCCGATATTTCTGTCTTCCGAGTCGCTTGCAGTTACACAACCAACGCGTCCTCCGTTACGTAATAAATAAAATGATAACGTCATTATAGACAGCCAAGGAGCACAAAGATAATTTTTAAATATCAATTCACCCGAAACAAAGTTATAATGCCACTAAGACGCAAAGATCTACTGAAAGGGAAAGAGAATGAAAAGACTAGAAGGACTGGGAAACCCAATCCTAAACAGGAACTAAGAGATAAACCTTTAATCTTTCTTTTCTTTTTTAATCATTTCACTCCAAGCAAGGCAATAAATCCACTAGGGCACAAGGGGTTACTGTGTGTTAAAGAATATGAGGAAAACTTCTATTAAGGAGAGAGGACAATAAAAGAATAAAATAAAAAAAAAAACAAGAATTAAGAAGACAGAAGATAACGATTGACGTTGCATTTACATTATTGGGAAGCAAGAAGCTAGAAAAGAATTCCACAAGTGTGAAGTGCGATAGACGAAACTATCAACATAGAACTTACGGTTGTATCTAGCGGCCATTTCAACCGTAAAATGACGAAACCTTGCCGCCAATCTAGTAGTGAGC